GACTTCCATGCGACTTAGAAGTTATCATTTTGATTAGGAGCTGAATGTCACTTAAAGGACTATCAGGGACACGTTTCTGATAAAATACCTCATTGTATCAATGGCAAAGGTTTCCCTTGACACAGCAGAACAGACATTCCTCCAAGCTGCAGGTAATCCTGTCTTGCCGAGCCACCCACACGCGTTGCAACTGGACCAGGACTGATTTTGATAGAAGACTGTGGTGTGGCGGCAGGGACGCTCCCACCACTGCGTTACTGCAGGGAAGCAGAGGACAGCAACCTTAGCTGTTACCCAGCATTTTAGATGACATCTCATAGCATCTTGTTCCTAAGACAGGCTCCATGGTGAAAGACCAACACCTACTCCATGTCTTAGGAGAGGGCTGAAGATCAGCTCCAAGAAGGTGTCAGGACAGAGGTGGTAATGGGTGCCCCAGCACCTCTGCTAGGAGAAACGCAGGTGGGCCAGTGATGCCAGTGATGAAGTTACGTGCTTCAGGCTCCTTCTGCTTGTATTATCTTGTGTCTCACTCCTATTTAAGAGCTGCCAAACCCATCCCCACTGAAATACCACCTAAGAGCTGCCAAACCCATCCCCTCTGAAAAACCACCTAAGACTCAAAGTACTGGGACAATATTTACTAGCTCGGGGATTGCTGAAACACAGTATACAATTTCTTCCAGAAGTTCAGCACACACACTGTACACAACTGTTGAAGAAAATCTGTTCTGGGAATGTTTGACTGCTAATAGGCTCATTTTTCAGACAATCAAAGCATCCACTACTTTAAAAAAAAATCGTGGGTTAGGCCCCAGTTGTCCCAGTTAATTTGGACAGAAAATAATTTCAGTTTTGACAACAGAGAAAATTCTGAGTCAATTCCTCAATGTATTGAAGTTAATGGCAAACTCTTTTCATCTTGGTCATTTTGTGATGTGCAGCTAATTCCTAACATGCAACTTGCACAATGTACTATTGATTAGCCTGCAGGGCACATTCCACAATAGAGGTTAATTTCTTTTGTTTGCTTACATATTTACATTCCTTCCCTCCCTATGAAAAATAAAGATCAAGAGAAATATGCCAGCCTTCAAGAACAACAAGCATATTTCACTGTCACGTTAAGACAACTTTTCTTTAGCAGACTACAACTCTGGGTTTTGGGTTGGGTCATTGATTGAAATCCAGTGCAACAAATTCTTACAGCACTAATTGTTAGCACAGGCATAAAATGTTAAGTAAGAAGGATTAAAGGTTGCTCAGGCATTACCAGAGCTCTTTCCAACAAGACAAATTACAGCTATTATTTTATATCAATGAACTGTAATAATCTTGAATTCCCTGCCCTGGAAGGAAAATTTGTGATAATGAATTCTTCTCTTATCTACCTTACCTTCTAGCCTGCGATAATCAGTGTACTTCTTTGGTAGAGAAGGGGACATTCCTCATGTCAGCTTTGCTCATATGAATTTATTTAACAAAATACATTTTAAAAATCAGTCTTCCAATCAGACAATATGTTTATTATGATTAATGCTCAAGTAGAGTTGTTTACCATGGATGTCTAAAAATAATGTGATTTTAAAAATAACGTTTCCCACAGGAGTTAACATTTGGACTTCAGAAACGGGGAATAAAGTCTGAATGCTCCATTCGCCCCTTGCACAGCTGATCTTTGCAGAGCAGAGAAAGTTTTAACTAAAGTAGTTGCTGCCTGTAGTTTCTTGATCATTTTTTTAAAATCGGTTTCACCTCTGGCTTTCTGTGCTAGCATGAAGCTGACTCCTCTGCAACCTCTTAGACTTGTTCAGTGCTTAAGTCCTACCTGGGTGGGAGCAGCTTGGAGTTTTCGTTTGGAACTAGCAGGAGGTGACGCTGGATGAAAGCAAGGGTAATCCTCTCAGCATGCAATTCAGAAGCAATTCTAAGCAGGTCTCAAAAGATGAAATCGGCTGAAGAAATGGATCATCTAGAGGTTGGTCCTGTGCTGTTCAGTGTTTAAAAGTCTATCTGCACTGCCTCTGCCACTTGATCTGTGAAGCAGGTGTGCAGTGCTCAGTGTAGGTCCAGCACCGCGCTGTTGCTGGGCTGTGTGCATGCAGGCTGCGGAGGCAACCGTGCCCACCCCGAAAGACCCTTGCTTAGCAGGCTAAAGTTCTGCTTTTCTGGTAAAAGGGTTACATGGTAGCCTCAGGAGAGGAAAAAATGGCAGAAAACTCCTTTTTGTTCCTGCCAGCCCATTTGTCAGTGCACAGCACGAGGGATGGGGGTTACGGGTCCTTGCTTCCTCCAGCGCAGCCCAGCAACTCGGTTCTGCACCAGCGTCCCTAAGCGAGCGCTACAGCTACCCAAAAGGGAGGGGAAGCAGCATCCCAGGTGGCCAGCAGCCTCTTAAGATGTTCCCAAAAAAGCACAACACTTAACTGATCATTACCATAGAATATCTCAAGTTGGAAGGGACCCATAAGGATCAATGAGTCCAACTCCCTGCTCCTCACAGGACTCCCTAAACTAACCCATATGACTAAGAGCACCTTCCGGCTGCTCCTTGAACTCTGACAGGCTTGATGCCATGACCGCTTCCCTGGGGAGCCTGTTACGGATACTAGGGCAAAATTGCCTTAAAAATTACTGTAGAAAGGAAAAATGTGTGCAGAGACTTATGAGATACTGTGCCCATGTGTCAAATTTGTGTGTTCCAGACTGTGGAAGACAAAGAGACAAGAGCAGGATCAGCAGGGGGAAATGCTGGCTTTCGGGAACAGCGATAGCCATTTCCTCTGTCAGCGATCCCTGATCATTATCCTGTTTTTCCATCCTTGACTACTCTTGATTCATCCCAGGTAGAAAATGATAAAAATGAAATTTCCAAGAAGCAGCAGCAAGAACACCTACAGAGAGATTTATGTTGGGGTTTCAGTCGCCTAGACAAAGCTGGTTAGATCTTTTGAAACAAACAGCAAGCTGCTCCTCTGCCTCCTCCGACCGACAAACCTTCCAGCCAGCTCCTGCCTCGGCACCAATACTGCCCCTGCACATTTCAACTGTATTTCACAAACCCCTACATACATTCCTCTTCTCCCACCTTAGTTTTTGGGGTTGGTTTTTTTTTTTTCCCTGGGGCAGAGGGAAGCATTTCATCATCTTTGGGATTCACACATTTGCTTCATCACACATTATACTTAGGGTAGGGAAACGGTAAAGTTTGTTCAGTTTTTCAAAATTAGTAGATAAGACTAGGCTCCTGAAAGAGTGGGCAATTTGTACAGGCAGTAATTATGCCCCCCCTACCATTCTCGTGCTCTTCTTTGTAATGGATTTAAGTACTCATTTCCACTATTGCTGACTAATTTGATGGTTTTCTAGGATCTCTGACAGTCAAGACACTCACACTCTGACAAGCTACCAGTGCTGTGGATTTGGGTGACGAGAGCAGATGGAAGAAAAAAAAAAACAAAAATCCATCTTCCAGACCTTCTCATTTTAAGGAGACCAGTTGAGCATGAAGCAGGCCAGCACCATCTCACTGAGAATGAATCTGAAGGCAAGCTGTGAATTAACACCACACATGGGATGGTCAAGTTCCTGAGAACAGCAGTAACACTACCTCTTTAAGGACTAATGCTGCCTTTTGTACATGGTAAAGGGGATGACAGTTAGCAGTAACTAGTGAGATTGATACTTTATTGGAGGGCCCTAGCTTCCAAAAAACTGCTATTATGCTTAACTAGCTCTGACACAAAAATCCCCAAATACTAAACCCTTCTGTGCTAAAAATAAAAAGAGGGGAGGATGGGAAACAGTATTTAATTCACTTTATCTTTAAATACTATCTAGTAATAGCTTAAATTAGCAGGGTGAAGTAACAAAGGGCATGAATTCAGTCATTTTTAGGGTACCATAGTAGATAGGCCTAACATGTGAAAGACTTGCAGCATAAAGTGGCAGAGATGGTGTCATTCAGGTTTTTTATTTTTTTGTGGGGTTGGGTTTTTTTTCTTTTTGTTGTTTGTGTTTTTTAAACTTCAGCGGTTCCCTTTTGTCTTACAATAGGGGGGTATATCACACCTTCTGAATGGCAGTCTACATCAAAGCAAATGAATGCACATAGTCACAGACAGCGTAAAACACTAATTCAGCATTTCATTTGTTGTTTGTATTTTTCACAATTTATTTTGCCATTTTAAAAATGTCACATACTGTTTTAAGAGGTGAAAGAATATTTCTTAAAAGTAAACCTTACCCTTGATTAAACCACAGTCAAAGGAATAATCTTTACCTGAACTGCATTATGTATGTGGAAAGTGTCAGCCAGAAAGTGGCTTTATATAGGTATAATTCCTTCTAAACAAAACGTTCCATGTGGTCAAACTGATTTACAAGCAACGCTAAAGCATTGTTCATCTGCAGTTTCAAAGCAACGGCTTACAAACAAGAGTCAGAAAATGTTCTGTGTCGGCACACCACAGAAAACAGTGGGGCTAAAACAAAAGCCAGACAAATGGCGAGATATATAAATCAGTAGGCAGAACATACATGCTCAAACTGGAACTTACCACAATGGGGAAAAGACTTTTGCTTACAGCCTTGCCCATGAACAATCAAAAGCAAGCATGCAGCATCCATGTTCTCTCTTCTTAAGGTCAGCTTACAAATACTGCAAAGCAACTATGATCTTACACATCTTCCAAGACAACTTGTCTTTCTGAAAGTCTAATGTATTTTCTATGGATCTAAAGATGGATTTGTGGCTGTCAAACAATCCATCTGGTTTCTAAACCTGAACAAACATTGTTCTTTAGTTCACTGTGTTTTATATTAATAGCAAAGTAAAATATTTGACTTTGAACTAGACCCACATGCAGTCAAGCATGGACAAGTAGACAATATTTACAACATTACTGGCATCATGACACAACATTCTGTGTATGACTTGGGGCATCAGAGTTAGAACATCATGTCATCTAGTCCATCCTCCATAAACTTCTTGTAAATTGCCATAAACTTTGCTACAAATGCTTCCAGATGATAAATAGCTTTGCTGCCCAATTGCAGGCGGTGTTCATAGAAGGCAGCCATCTGTGCAACTTCTCCTTTCAGTTGTCCATCACAGTTATTTAGAAGTTCTGTCAGGAGGCCCTAAAAGGGGAAAAAACAGGACAGTATTTGAAAAATTATTTATTTTTGTTAAGAGAATAACCTCATTTCTCTGAAAATAGCCAAGTTATGACCAATAGTTCATTCATGAATCCAACAGAAAAGACATTTAAGAATCATTACACCACTTATTTGACAGAACTAGATTAATGGAACCATGTCTTTTCAGAACCTTCTTTCAATATAAATTCCTCATGTGAAAATAGATGTAACCTATTGTGTTCTTAGATGGAAAAAAATCATGTATTGGAACTACTTATACTTTAATAAAGAAAATAAATTAACCTCATCTCCAAATACTATAACCTCTACTGCATGCAGGCACATGGTCCTGGGGAAAGCTTTTACCAAGGCAGCAAGTGTATTAAAATCACTTACTTCCTATCTCAACAGCATCAAGCACAAAGAGAAACAACATTAATAAATAGCAAGGAAAGGGCTTATTTAACTATATTTGTTTATATTTATGTACATATGTATGTGTAGACACACACACAAGATACTTTACAACAATACTTTAGTCATTATAAAAGCCAAAATGCATTATTTTAGATCCAAGATACCAATATAATCATTGCAAATCCATCTCTATTAAAATAGTCAGGATTAAGTGAGAAGTATCTCTAGACCATTCCAAGTTCATGAAAAGGGAGGGGGTAGAGAACATCCACCTCTGGCCTGACGACAACAGTCTTCAAACAGGGCAATGCAGGATCCACTAACTTACCGTAGGAAAGGAAGGTTAAAGAAACATCTAACTACCAAAACTGTCAGAAAACAGAGATCAGTTAACGTGAAAAAAAATTTATTATCTTGTAATTATGTCTGATGGCAAAGTCCACCTAGGGTAAGTTGCAACCATTAGCTTTAATCTTTGTTCTGCTCCAGTTGTCTTCAGCATCCTTTCATCCTGCCTGAAATAAAAACATGCACATCCCATTTGCTTTTTTTCCTCCCAAGATGACTCCTGTCTTCAAAGAGACCTGCTGGCCTAGCATCGTTCAGCAAACCTCTCCACTAGGACACAGCACATATTGAACTTACAACAACAAAACTTTTACAAAAGAAAACAAACCATATCAAAATTAGGCCATAAAATATGTCTATGCTTCAATACAGAAACTGGCCTGAGAAGCCTTCAGAGGGACAAAGCGTGTCCTCCTTTGTTTTTACTCAGCTATGATGTTGCTGCTCTGTGATCACAGAACAAGTTTTAATAACCATTCAACAGCGGTGTGAACAAGGAAGCCTGCAATAAAAATAAACTGGACATTTACATTTTCCAAATTAGAGGAAACAATCTTCCTGTCCCCAAAATCTACACAACCTAAAACCATCATGTCTAAATATATTTAGGCATGAACCTAACTAAACAGTCTAGTATTAATCAACTGAGGATCATGATTAGTGAACACTACAGATCAGTGTTTGTAGGAACAAGGTCTTTAATTACCGCTTCAGAGCGATAACCTGGACCATTTTGGTTAGTCCAGTGGAAAGAAACACAAGAAAAAAGTATCTTTTGGTCACTCATGTCTCTTTGCAAAGGACACAGCCTTCCATCGATATTTAGATAATTTGTGATATTTGGTGTGGTTTTTTGGTTTTTTTAAACTCAAATTGAGACTGTCATAGCGTTAATATTTATAATGCATCAAGAGCTAGATAGCTGAATTACCTTCATTATAATCTCAGGAGGAATGCAGTGTGTCAGGAGTTCATAAAGCCGTCCACGGACCTCTAAAAGCCTGTTGGAAAGACACCACAAAATATCAGAAGTATGTCCCCAAAGCATACTAATGTGTTTTCACTACTTGTGAAATATGCTGCAGGGGACAAAAAGTCAACCCAAGCAAAGGGGTTTTTTTTTTTTTTTGCTTTTTCATTTTGTGTGTTATTTTGAACACAAAAGCATTGCACAAGCCAGTCAGTTGCAATTCAAATGCTACATATCACCTTTTATTCAAAACAGTAAGATAAGTTACACATACTCCAGTTACAATGGTCTCAGTTAATCTAGAAGCTACAAGGCTATTACCATTTGTCTCAGGCCTGTCTCCCTTTAATTCCTCTTCATATCTAAATTATTATTCATGCTTAAGATTAGTGAGAAGACACCAGGAAATTGATTAGAGCCACAAAATTCATTTACGCTAGTTTTCTGTATTCATTGTTTACAAGAGGGGGTAAGATGATTAGGTGGCAGAAGAGTGACAGAGTTATCAATTCTCAACTTCTGATATCAGGAGGTCAGAGACTACAAGCATTTAAATTTAAATACAAGAATTTAAGTGACATCCCATGTAATATATGGAACAGACTAAAAGGATCAGGCTGTCTATATGACAGAGATAGATAAAGGGCTCATCTCCTAATGTCCTTAAAAAAGCGATGATTTCTCATTTTCAGTTCTTTAGCATAATGGACCTTTGTAAAAGACAGTGAAACAGAAGCCTTAAATAAAACAAACAAAAAAAACCAGCAAGTGACCAACACACACACCACCCCCCCAAAAGACAGACAGCACAACATGCAACTAAGCTTCTGTTCAGTTTTAGTTATAAAGCTTCAGCAGAGAAAACAACAAAAAAACCCAGCAAGTGACCAACACACACGCCAACCCCCCCAAAAGACAGACAGCACAACATGCAACTAAGCTTCTGTTCAGTTTTAGTTATAAAGCTTCAGCAGAGAAAACAAACAATTGTTTTGGTTCCTGAGGTTCATTCAGCCTCCTCTGGTAATTTTAAAGCTCACTTCCTCTGGCTGCAAAGTACCAGCTCCAGTAGAAATGCCAGAAAATTACATGTAACTAAAGTAAAGATGCCATATTTTTAAATGTAACTTTTTTTTTTAGGTTTAAGAATACACCAAAAAGATAATTTATAGCTGCAAGCAAGTGCATTCACCTACCTTTGTGGTGTCTGTTGACTGACAATAGCATTTGCAGTTTCTCTCAAATAAACTTCCCAGTCCATCTCAGGAATGTCTTGATCAGCAGTAAAAGGATACCTACATAATAGTATTTTTTTTAAAAAACTACAATCAAAGCAAACTGTCACCTGTTCTAACAAGACCTCAGAAGTAGCTTCATTTATGTGTCTGAGAGTATAATTTACATTAATTTTTAGCAGTGACTTACTGTTGTACTCTGCAGGACTCACACATAAGTAGTGCTTTCCGAAGATTCCTGCCAGATTTCTCTGCAAGCCTTTGAGCCAGTTCCTGGGGAAGAGTCAGGCCTTCTTTCTTACACACACTGGACAGGACATGGCAGATCTAGACAGGAAACAGATAGCAAGGAGTGCGACATGTAGCAAACAGTTTAGAATCTACAGATTCTCCTGTTTCAAACATTTCTGGACGAGGGATGGACCAGTCTTTCATAAGACATGATTGACAAGTCACCCACCACAAAGAAAAACTAGTTCACTTTGCAGAATTAAAATATTTCTTAAGTCCACAGCAAGAACTTATTTGGTAAGAAGTTTTAAATAACTTGGTTTTGCTTCTGTTTCAACATACATCTTCAATGCTGGGAGCAGGCACTCGTACAGCCAGGCATCTGCTTTGAATAGGTCCTATAATTTTTGACATGGAGTTGCAGCACAGGATCAACCTGCAGGTCGCCATGTACTTCTCCATTGTTCTCCGCAAAGCATGCTGAGCATCTTTAGTGAGTTTGTCAACTTCTGTTAACAGCACCACTGAAAAAGGATTAAAAATAGCGGGTTTGTTTGTTAATATCAAATCTTTCTAAGAAAATGAGTACTTTGTCAAATGATAATACCAAAATAAGTGATACAAGCAGAAAAAGACAGCATGGCTCCACAGGGAGTAAAATAAAGATTAAGACAACCTGTGTGCTTTTTTGACTGTATAATCTTCTGCTCCTTCACACCCTATATTCATGTCCTAGAATGTCAGTTTCTTCAGAGCAGGGCCTGCAACACTGCAATGCCAAGAAATAATCCAGGTAGGTGTAGAAGCCTTACTTTGATAATTAGTATAGTAACTTTTTAAAGGAATTTTAAAGTAAGAAATGCAAAAGAATTTATGGCATAAGAACATATCAAAAAGCAAAAATTTCTTGAAGACTCCCCTCAATACATTTTATATTTAAAAGCCAATATCTTAGCTTAACAAAGTAGTAGAAAACTGCCTTGTTATTGTAGCTGCAGTGCCTTTCCGTGGTCTTTTAAAGAGGAAAAAAAAAAAAAAAAAAAAAAAAAAAAAGAGAGAGAGAAGTGTATGTCAAAAATGCTTCAGAACAACCAGGAGACACCTAATATGAAGCAGCTAACCTGACCAGCTACCTTCTGCAAGTTCCTCCATAGGCAACTCACAGATGGCTCATTTCAGTACTCTGAATGGTCCAGTGTGAACAGCCTGGAGGAACAAGTCGGCCCATTACTCTTCTCACATTTCTCTTCTGGTTATATATGCAGCCTAAGGAGACCAGCCAGCTTACCAGATACTTTGAGGTGCGTGGTATGACTGCAGCTGTAAGGATATATGCACCAATAACTGGTAAAGCCAATCAGTGTCTAGCAGCTTAGGTGAAATACAGTATTTCCTGAGAACAGTGAGGAAAATGAGACAGACTACTAAATCCATGATCATTTTCAACTGCTCCACTCTACCTGTCAAGATTTCCTCTCTCCTTCAATCTCTTGTTATATAGTTCTGATTTTGCTTTCAATTTAGTCATGGTGAGGAAAAATAAGCCACTTGTAGCAACAGGTGTCTTGGAAAACTCAATGAAAGCCTTCTTCATTTCCTTACCCAGTGTACTTCTGTACACTATGGATAAAACACTTCTAAACTTTCTGCCTAAGATAGCTCAGCCCCCAAAATGCTACAAATAAGCGGCTAACACCTAACTTACACAGCACCGTTTGCCGTAAGGTTATCCTGCCCCTCAACTCAGTATTAAGCCTCAATAGCTCATAACTCAACTACTACTGTAGACCATTAAACTAAGTTACAGTGCATCTCAATGGTAGGCTTAGGAAAAAGACAGTAGGAATCCCAGCTCCCTCTGCTCAGGCACAGTCATTTAACTACACCCTGTCTTCCTAAGAAACCAACACAGGAGAACCTCATACTGAGTATTTAAGCACTCAAGATATTTCCACAGTGGAAGAAAAATGGGAGGTTGTTTAATTTGGAAAAGGTTCATGTGTGCCCTCATGCAATATACAGGTACAAACAAGACAGTCAGCTGAAATCTCTGAAAAACACGTTTAAAAAGCACTTTGACTGGTTTTAACTGGTTTTACTCACCTTTAAAATCTCGTTGAGTACTTGTCTCAAGCTGTTGGGATTGTGCTACTGTCTTCAAGAGTTCCTGAATTACTACACGGTCATTGTTTCCTGCATCACTGTACCAGGAGTTTGAATAAAACTTGTTTTAATTAAAACAACTTTACACTGCATATAAAATACATCCTCCTAAGCAGCCCCTTGGTCAACTGACTAAGCAAGAATGCCAAAAGAATTCAGAAGCTGTTGAGGTCAGAATTAAGCTCAACACACATACTTTGTTGAAAGTTACCTTCCCAATACTAAAAACAACCCAAAGCTTACACAGGCAAAGCTGGATTAGTAGTACTGTATTGGAAAGTAGTGAAACCATTGTAAAATGTTTTATTAACTCTTTAAATTAGACATTATTTTTCTGGTATGAGACATCTAAACTTTGGTTACTTGTGATTTGGGCAAAGATGTGCAATGTGAACATTTTTACCCATTATGGGAAGAAAAATTGTCTAACCATATAACAGGATGCCTGACTGAAAGGACTGATGTAAATGCATAGGGTTTTTTCCCCTGAAAATTAGAATCATAGAATCGTTTAGGTTGGAAAAGACCTTTAAGATCATCCAGTCCAACCATTAACCTACACTACCAAGTCCACTCTAAATCAATCAAGGGTAGACTAGACTAAACCATGTTCCGAAGTGCCACATCTACCCATACATCTAGATGTCATGCTAGAAACAACCTATATGCTTAACAAACTTGAATGGCAGACACAGGGAAGTTAAAGAGTTACTAGTAAAAGGCTGATATTCAGATACTACTACAGCACAGATGGATAACTTTTTTCCTCTTAGAAGGCAGAAAACGTGGGGAAATACTAGATTTCCTTCCTGCCTCTTCTCCTTACTATCCCTCAGAGTAGCACTGCACAGCTTTCTCAGTCCCCAGGTTAGTAGCTCAGCTAGCTTGACTCAGATTTGACAACCACTGGGGACCGACTTGCAAGCTAGATTACTGAAAAAGCAAAGAAAAAGAAGGGAAAACCCCCACACTCTTTAGCAGCCCCAGACCACTGCCTTCATAGAGGCAGCAGTAGCTCTGCAATATTTCACTGGCAAGCAAATGAAAAAGGCATTTGTCTGTCATGTTCTAGTCACCACTCAACCAGGCCTTCCCCATTCTTGCCAGGGAGAAGGCAGCAGAATGTACAGAAGCGCATTAGCTCAGCAGCTCACAATCTGCTGAATAGGCTATGCAGACTTTGACTGCAGAGATCTGTCCTTCAGCAAGGGAGCAGACTTGTGATTACAGTGCAAAAGGACAAAAAGCAAAACAAAACAAGCTGGTTCTACTTATGAGCTAGGCCAGTTTTCAGAAATGGAAAGTGATTAATAGTTTCCTAACATTTAAAGTTAAATTATTCTCTGCAGTAACAGAGAACCCAGAGTTATAACTTCATGGTGAAAGATTATCCTTGATGATATATGACGACACCAAACATTCCAAGAAAACAGTGAACAAAGGCAGTTACCACACAAACATTTAATTTTTATTGTTCCTTATTCTTTCATTACCCACTTACTCAGGAGAACCCATTTTAAAGCATCTACCAAAGTTAGTCAAGTCACCAGCAGACAACACTTTGGAATACAGACAATATCCTGCTTTTGGAGTAAGAACAACAGCTCTATCTAATAAAGTCCCATAATAAATTCAATGTCTGCAGAGTCCTTCCCAGAAGTTAATTTCCTTTCCCTGTTAGCCATTTATCATGTTCCATGTTACTCAAGGTGCACAACATGATTTCACAGCATTATAATTTAACCAAACTTCACAGACCATACAGGTTCACTGTCTGGTCAGACCTAAACATGACAATTGCTTGATCACTTAAAGCCTATGAATCAATATATTAATTCTTAATCAAAATTCAGCACTACTATTATACACAATAATCAATACAGCAGTTCTACACCTTCAGGATTTTTTATATTTAAAGTAAAGTACAATTATTTCATGTGTTTCAAGCTAGAAGTACTCTATGGAGAGTAACAGAAAAAGTATTAGTAGTATTAGGTTATCAGAGCAGAAGACTGAATGGTCAGATATTTTATATCACCAAAATGACATATTCAAACAGCTAATTACCAATAAAAGTCTCAGCTTTAATTATTTGGGTCTGTATTAGAATACCAGCAGATATTCACTAATCGATACACAGCGATTAGCAGCAAAACAAGCTTTTAAAGGACATCTGGTATCCGAGAATAGTTTCTAAAATGCAGAGCAACGTGAGAAAAGGTTTAGCCATTAAGCACAAAGCTAAAAAGCTACTTCAGGATACACATTGTCTTAAAATGCAACCCAGACAACAAAGCCAACATAACCAAAGCCTCCCAGTGCACAATGACATTTACTCTTGTGATTTAAAGCAACATTAAAGGGTTTCAGGTAAATACAAGTATTTACTTTGGGTCAGTGAACTATCACCAGCAATTTCACAACTGTCAAAGACGACAGACAGTACAGCTTCTATCATTTAAATCAACATCTGACCTCACTCATGACAGGATTCCCAGTATTTTGTGGTGGTATTCTTTTCCATGCTCTAAACTCTTTGTCTTAAGAGTTACTGGGTAAACCTGGCTTACTTTCAGATCACTTCATTTTTGTATTTGTGAGAAAACTAACAATATGGGGGTGTTGGTTCCAATAAAAGTTCTCAATTTCAACTTAAATGGTTAAATCTATGAATCCAGAATTGTTTCTGTTACCCAGACCTCAACATCGGAACACTTATGTGGCTAGTTAAGCAGAACATTACTGTCTTTAGTACACAGCAATCCAAATTTTTGTTCATTTAGAGCTGTTCAATTAAAAATCCTCTCCCTGCTCCCATTTGCAGTCCAAACCCATAAGCCATTATCTAATTTGCTCAGGCAATAAATCAGGCAATCAGGCCCTTATACACCCAGGTTGAAACCACTTGCAATATGACCAGCGGCTTATTTTTGAAGTGGGACATTATTACTGTATGCTTACCTTGGGTTAACTTCAAGGTGATAATTACTTGCAATGGTGCTAATTTCAATTTTCTTTTTAGAAGGTGCCTATGTAGGAAGTAAGGATATTAAATTTCAGAAAAAAAGTCCTAAAAATCTGATGCAAAAATTTATCTTACAGATTACAACTGGCTAGGTCAGAGGCAATCCAAAAGTCTCAGATATCAAAGAACTGCTGAGACACTAGACTTATGCACCTCCTAACCCCCAACGCCACCTCCAAAGGAGGAGTACTGACACATCACCCAGCCTGTAAAATAATAACAGTAATGATTATTATAGCAACACATAGTACATATTACTGCATACTCCAGTTATTGAGTTTTGTAACAAGAAATCTTATTATTGGAATCAGCTGTTCAAACTGATACTTTGTACCTCCAAGAAAAGTTTTGTAGG